GGTCCCAATAATTTTTTTTTTTTTTTTTTTTTTAAGGAAAATGTTAAGTTGGGTTGGCAGGTGGCGTGGTGGTTAGATGTTGGATCCCATATGGCTGACTTAACAGTTTGAGTCCTGGATTCATTGACTTGAAAAGCATTCTGGGAGGGTCTAGCAAATGGCATACTGGTTACACTGCTGGATTTTCACATGATAACCGCTGTTCTAGTCCTGAACCTGGTGGCTTCAGACTCATGCGGGGGTGTGTGTTGTGTGTTTGTGTGTGTATGTATGTATGCCCAAGATCCCAGGAGGATAACAGAAGAGTTGGAGAAGGGATTGTGGCGTAGCCATCCCCCTGATGGGGTGATATCTCGCTTCCTGTCTCTGTCTCTCTAGTTAGCATACACGTCCTATAGTAAACATCTCTCAAAAAAAAAAGAAAGAAAAGAAAAGAAAAAGACATGTGGGGCAGGTGTATGTGAATGCTCGAAATTCCAAGGTGAGAATGGAGGAGGAAGGATTTCTGCGTGGCCATTTCCCCTGGGGGGTGGTGACTTCTCTTTCTTCTGTTTGTCTCTCCCTCTCTTGACAGTGCATGAACTCTATGACAAAAATATAAAAATTAAAAAAAGTTGAGTGATCTTAAAGTGTATGTAATTAAAATCAACAGACCCATTTTAGTTTTTTAGAGATTTTGCTAAAGGGCCACGTGCGCTTGGCAGAAAGAGACAGAGAGACAGAAAGTGAGAAATCACCCCCAGGGTGATAGCCACGCTGCAATCCCTTCTCCTCTATTCTCCTCTCAGGATCTTGGGCACACATGCACATGTACCCTGTGTGAGTTTAAGTCACCAGGTCTGGGGCTCAAACCATGGTCTACTACATGGGAGTCCAGTGACAGCCATTACTGCATCTGCTGGTTCCAAAAGACCCATTCTTTAGGAAGCTGAAAGAGAATAAAATCCCAACAGAAGAAAAAAATGGACCTTAGAGTAAAAGTCCAATTTCTAGATTAATGTTGTTTAAGGTAGGGTTTATAGTTTTCAGGCCTAGCTATTAGTGCTTAATGATAAGTACAAAGATTGAGTATAAGCTTTTAGAAACTTAAAAAAAAAATGAGTTATTTCTTCCATGAACCAGAGAGAGAGAGAAAGTCCACCCAATAGGGTCTTTACTACACAGTCCACCCTGAGCTTCTGTCAGCCATGGATCATGGGCATACATATACCTGGTGTGCTCAGCGAGGTCTCCAAATTTGAACTGGGAGCCTTCATGTGTGGGATTGCCTTGCAGAGCTTTGTTTTACCGCTGTACCCTTTCTGGCACCTGAGAAACTTAGAGCAGTTTGACATCATTGCTACATCCAAGTTTATGCTCATTTTTCTAGTAATTGGTTGTTTTAAATTTATTTTCCATGACCAATTTGGAACGCACAAACACACATATGCAGAATATATGTACGTGTGTGTATATATATATATATTTTTTAAAAGAATTATTAATTATTTTTATTTTGCTATAGGGCATGTTTGCTTACCAGATAGACACAGAGGGAGAGAAAAAGAGAAAGTGAGAACTCAAGCCACAAGGTCCAGGACTCAGACCACATTAAGCCATGTGGGAATCTAGCACTTTAACTACCATGCCACCTGCTGGCTCCTGGAATACATATATAGGTTAAAATATTTATTAATTATTTTTAAATTTTTTTTCTCTTTTTTTTTTTTTTTTTGGAGAGGTTTCTGCTATAGGGCACGTGCACTCGCCAGACAGACAGAGACATAGAGACAGAAAGCGAGAAATCACCCCATGGGGGATGGTCACACCGCAATCCCTTCTCCATTCTCCTCTCGGGATCTTGGGCACATGCGTTGAGTTTTAAGCCACCGGGTCTGGGACGCGAACCGCAGTCGACGACGTGAGAGTCCAGTGACGTAGCCATTACGCTAACTGCTGGTTCCCTTATTTTTTAATTTGATAAGGGAGAAAGAAAGAAAGTAAGAAAGCAAGCTGCCAGGTCTGGGACTCTAACCATAGTCAGCCATGTGGGAGTTCAGCACCTCAACTACCATGCCACTTGCTGGCCCCTATTTTTAAAAATTTATTTGTCAGAGGGTATATGCCCATTAGAGAGACAGAGGGAGAAAGCACTCTCTTCCCAAAGGATATGTCACCATGGCACAATCCCTTCTCTGTTGGAATTTTGAGCTTGCGTACATACCCGATGTGTTTGGCTAAAATTTGAACCGCATGGCCATGTAGATCTGACTCCTTAATCATCTCAGGCTATGAAACTGGCTCCTTTTTGCAATATTATAAGAAGAGCCCTGTAAATTTACCTATTTAAAAATACACTTATCGAGGCTAGCAAGTGGCATAGTGCTTAAGGCCCTGGACCCCCACATGGCTGACCTTGTTTCAAGTTCTAGACCTGGCAGCTTGCTTTCTTACTTTGTGTCCCTCTCTGATGGGCACACATGCCCTTTAGTAAATTTAGAAAATAATAATAAGAGATCAGTAGATGGCATAACGGTTATATCTCTGGACTCCCACATAGTCGACTGTAGTTTGTGTCCTGGACTTGGAGGCTTAAAACTTACACTCGGCACATGTTCATGTATGCCCAAAATCCCAAGAAGAGAATGAAGGTGAAGGGATTGCGGAGTCGGAGTGTGATTTCTTGCCTCCTGTCTCTCTCTGTCTCTTCACTGAGCACACATGCCCTGTAGCAAAGATCTTTCTCTTTAAGAAAAAAGATAATTGGGACCAGCAGTTAGCGTAATGGCTATGTCACTGGACATACATGTAGTCGACCATGAGTCCTGGACCCGGTGGCTTAAACTCACGCTGGGCATGTGTGAGTGCATGCCCAAGATGCCGAGAGGAAAATGGAGGGGAAGGGATTGGCCACCTGGGGGTTGATTTCTCGCTTTCTATCTCTCTGTCTCTCTTTCTGGCGAGTGCACGCGCCCTATAGCAAAAACCTCTCAAAAAAAAAAAGTATAAATAAATAAATAAACAAACAAGCAAGCAAGTTTCACTGTTTCCAAATACTTCTCTGGCTGAGAACCTTATAGAGATGCAGAGTTCTCTTTAATAGAAAGTTTTTTTTTTTTGGAGAGGTTTTTTCACTATAGGACGTGTGCGCTCGCCAGATAGACAGAGACAGAGAGACAGAAAGCGAGAAATCACCCCCCAGGGGGGATGGCCACGCTGCAATCCCTTCTCCATTCTCCTCTCGGGATCTTGGGCACGCACGCACACGCGCCTGGCGTGAGTTTTAAACCACCGGGTCCGGAACGTGAACCACGGTCGACTACGTGGGAGTCCAGCGACACAGCCATTACGCCAACTGCTGGTTCCCAAGTTTTGTTTTTTTTTTCTTTTTTAAATAGGAATCTGCTTTTTAACTTCTATGGTTTGGTATTAGATCTGTTCTTCAAAGCCAGTAAGGTGGTTTTCAGACCAAACATCTTTGTGTCTTAATCTATGTATAGGATTTGTGGAGTCTTCCTTTTCCTCCTTGTTCTCCTGTGTCACCATGTTATGCTTCATAAAATGAGAATATAGAGCTTAGTGAGGCCACTTATATCATTAAATATGGATTGTATATTTCAGTTATCTATAATTAAGAATTACTTTTGTTGTGAATCCTCTTCGCCTAAAACTCTGAGGTCTTTGTCCTTTGAATTACTATTGAGCCAGGCCTCCCTCATCCAGTTTCTCTATCATTGAAATTTTTAAACTAAATGTAGGTTATATATATATATACCTTATTCCTTCTTAATCGAAACTTCATTTTGGCTCATTGTGCTTCCTGAAGAAGTTTTCGTTTATTTGTTTTTAAGCTTTGTTTTATCAGTAACATCAACTCTTCCTACTCTTCCTCCTTGTATTACATTGTCTTTAAGATAATAAACGTACCTTTTTAATCTTAAGTCAGGTTACTGATTTAAAAATCTTTAACAGGCTCAGTTGTGGTGGAGCAGATGGTAGGGCACTGCCATGTCATAGTAGAACCATATGGGTATGGGAAGCCCTGGTTTGGGCTTGAGTCAACCTGAACATGCCAGATACTCTCATAGTTGTGCCATTGATCCTAGCTGGCTGGACGACTAGGGAGAAGATGCTATGAAGAATGCTCCTCTTTTCTTGTCCCTCACTCCTCTCTCTCAATCAATTAATAAACTAATTTTTAAAGATTTCGACAGAACTGTATGGCATGCAATGAAATATTTCTTTCCTTTTTGACATAGACCCTTTAATCCATTGTTGACATTAAACTGACATACCTTTCTAATTCTGTAGTGGTCAGACCTCTGTGGATGTATAAGGTACATTATAACAGAATCTGGGATCTGGTGGTTAGGAGAATCTTCTTTTAGATCATTGATGTTTCTGCTTAAAGAATGTTCATTCTTTGCATGTACTACCTGGCACAGTAATCTTTGGGGGAAGAAAAACCTCTTTTGCCTCAGAATTACTCAGAAATAGCTAAAGGTTTGTAATAATAGGTGTATGAATAGATCAGAATTTTATTAAAGTGTATTGTTCTTTGGGGCCAATAGATGGCATAGTAGTTGGGATGCTGGATTCCCACATAGCTGACCACAGTTGAAGTCCCGGACCCAGTGCCTTAAAACTCATTGCCGGGTGCGTTTGCACCCAAAATCCTGAGGAGAATGGAGGAGATGAATTGCAGCATGGCCATCCCCCCGGTGTGTGATTTCTCACTTTCTCTCTCTCTGTCTCCTAGGAGCACATGTGCCTTATAGCAAAAATCTCTCTTAAAAAAAATTTTTTTTTTTAAATAAAATGTATTGTTTTTCATCAGCATGTCGGAAAAGTCCTCTTACATATTAAATATCGTGAGAAGGAAATAGATTTCTTTGTGGGTTTAGAGGCTTGGAAGGATTAAGGGCAATAGTTTGGGACTGAACTTTTATTGTTATTTTCTTGAGGAATACTTCTCATCATTAATCCTGTTAACTAAGGAAAAGTTTTATTTTTTTCCTCAGCTTGCTGAACTGAAGCAAGAATGTCTAGCTCGTGGTTTAGAGACCAAGGGAATAAAACAAGATCTCATCAACAGACTTCAGGCTTATCTAGAAGAGCATGGTGAGTACTTGTTGGGTCAGAATAATGTGACCAAAGGGATTAATTTTCTATCCCTTTTTTTTTCCCTTAGGTCATTGGTGTTGTAAGCTCTTAATTATCAGTATTAAGAAAACACTTGGTCATTCAGAACAGTCATTATAATATAAAGAAACATTCCCCTGAATTTTAAAAAAAGAATTATTTTGTTCATTATTATTTTTTAATTTGACCAGAGAGAGACACAGAAGTGGAGGGGGTGGGGCATGAAAAAAGCAAACTGCCAGGTCTGGGACACAAACCGTGGTCAACCATATGGGAGTCCTGCACCTTAACCACTATACCACCACCTGTTGCCCTCCCTCTTAAGACTTTTTTTTTAAGGAATTATTTTATTTATTTTTAACTTTGTTATTATTTTTAAGTATACCAGAGAGAGACAGAGAGAGAAAGGGAAAGTGAGAAAGCAGGCCACCATGCCTGGGACTCAAACAAAAGTTGACCATGTGGGAGCCCAGCACCTTAACCATTATGCCACCTGCCAATCCCCGTTTTTTTTTTTTTTTTGTTTTCGCTATAGGGCGCCTGCACTCTCCAGACAGACAGAGAGACAGAAAGTAAGAAATCACCCCCCAGGGGGGATGGACACGCCACGATCCCTTCTCCTCCATTCTCCTCTTGGGATCTTGGGCATTCACACGCACGTGCCTGGCGTGTTTTAAGCCACTGGGTCTGGGACTTGAACCACAGTCGACTACGTGGGAGTCCAGCGACAGAGCCATTACGCTAACTGCTGGTTCCCCCAATCCCTTAAGACATTATTTTATCTTAGTATGTTATTTAGAATTAGTATGGTAATGCAAGTATCATTAGATTGAAAATTGAGAGACTTGTTCTGATTCCTCTCTTGTTAGAAATTTACTAGGTAACTGATAGTCACTATATGACTAAGTGTTCCTGGTCTGTGAAATGAGGCAATGTTTGGACAAAAAAAAAAAAAAAAAAAAAAAATCCATAAACTAGGTAATCTATGGTCCCTCCAAGCTCTGCATTCTCCAATTCTTCCTGATTTTTTTTGTTTTTTTAAAGAATTATTCAATTTTGTTTGTTTTTATTTTTACATTGACCAGATAGAAACAGAGAGAAAAGGAAAGTGTAAAAGCAAGCCACCAGGTCTGGAATTGTGGTTGGCCATGTGGGAATCTAGTGCCCAACTACCACACCACTTACCGATCCCCAGTTCTTGCTTTTTTAAAAGTTCCTTGTCTGAGGCATATTTAACAAAAATATTCTTCCATTCTGAGGGTTGTCAATGCAAACTTGTTACCGTGTCCTTTGTTGTGCAGAAACTTCTTAATCTGATATACTCCCACTTGTCTATTTTAGGGATTATTGCCTGTGCTTTCAGAGTCTTATTTAAGTAATCTTTGCCTACCCCAATGTCTTCCAGAGTTTCTCCAGTATTTTTCACCAGTAGTCTTATAGTGTGAGGTCTTAGGTTCAGATCTTTGATTCATTTTGAGTTCATTTTTTTAAAACTTATTTTTTTTGAGAGGTTTTTGCAATAGGGCGCATGTGCTCACCAGAAAGACAGAGAGAGACAGAGAGACAGAAAGCGAGAAATCACCCCCTAGCGGGGATGGCCATGCCGCAGTCCCTTCTTCTCCATTCTCCTCTTGGGATCTTGGGCACGCACGCACATGCGCCCACGTGAGTTTAAGCCACTGGGTCCGGGACTTGAACCGCGGTTGGCGACATGGTAGTTCAGCGACATAGCCATTATGCTAACTGCTGGTCCTCCAATTCTTTCTTTTTGAAAATGAAACTGGAGAGTGGAAGAGAGGGAATCAAGGAGAAATTAAAAAAAAAAAAAGAAGTAAAATATTTAAGGTACACAATTTTTTTTTTCTTTTTCCTTTTTCTTTAATTTGCCAGAGAGTTCATGCACTCCAGAGAGACAGAGAGGAGAGCAAGAGAGTATTTCCTATGGGGAATAGTCATGCTGCAGTCTCTTCTCCATTCCTTCCTTGGAATTTTGGGGCACAGAAGCCCACATGCATGGCATGTTTCTTAAGCTACAGGGTCCAGGACTCTAACCATGCAGTAGGCCATGTGGGATTTGGTTACCTTAACTTCTGTGCCACAGGCTGGCCCTTGTTTGTTTGTGTGATTTTAATTCTTCCCCCTACTGATTTTAAAGATACTCTTACACTTTTTTTTTTCTCTCCCTTTTTAGACTAGGTCTCACTATGTCATAGCCCTCCCACATTAGCCTGCCAAAGCTGGAATCATAGTTACATGCCACCACATCTAGCTCTTTTAGTTGCTTACCCTGGCCAAAAGTTCACAATTCTCCTGCCTCATCCTCCCAAATACCTGAGACTGTTGGCTCTCACCACCACACCTAGCTTTTAGGGTTGACTGCCATGGTGGCCTCAGCCTGCTTGGTAGCAGTATTGACCTGTGCATACTGTTAGGGCTGGGGACTCTTGCTTATGTTACCTTTTTTTTTTTTTTTTGCTTGAAAAGCATCCATATTACTTTTTAAAATTAATTTTGTATTTTGACCGTATCATATTTAGTTCTTTGGTTCAACTAGAGTGCAACTTTATTAATGTTAGGTAGAGTTCTCATTTTATCTTCTCCAAACATAACAATTTTTTTTTCTTTTTTTTGGAGAGGTTTTTTTTTTTGCTATAGGGCATGCGCACTTGCCAGAAAGAGAGAGATAGACAGAGACAGAGACAGAAAGCGAGAAATCACCCCCCAGGGGGGATGGCCATGCCGCAATCCCTTCTCCTCCATTCTCCTCTTGGGACCTTGGGCACGCACGCACATGCACCTGGTGTGAGTTCAAGCCGCCGGGTTCAGGACACAAACTGTGGTCGACTACGTGGGGGTCCAGCAACATAGCCATTACGCTAACTGCTAGTCCCAACATAACAAATTTTAAGTATCACTTCTGCCTTCATTATTTAGTTTTATTTTGAGAAAGCAATGTAATTGTACTTTTAACCTTAGAGTGGTGATTGAAATGGTTTTGTTGGAAGGTTTGACTTGAGTGTTTTAATATTCTTTAGCTGAAGAGGAGGCAAATGAAGAAGATGTACTGGGAGATGAAACAGAGGTGAGTTGGAGGTTAGTCACTGGCCTGGTATTGTGCCTCTGCCTTGGTTATATTGTTTAACAGCAGTCATTTCAGGGCTTAGATGTTAATTTATCAGGGGAGCATGATAGGGAAATGAAGGTTCAGAGAGACTGGTTAATTTTGGAGTTCTGATAATCTATTGCTGGGTATTTATTCTTGTTTTATGTAACCATCTTATTTCATTTGGTTTTAGGAAGAAGAACCAAAGCCAATAGAATTGCCTGTCAAAGAGGAAGAGCCCCCTGAAAAAAGTGTTGATGTGTAATTATTCCTTTATTATAATCTGAATACAGAGCAGACAACTCTGTTTTTATTGAATTTAATGTTTCACTTTACTTCTTGTACATTCCCATTGACTTTTTGTTTGTTTGTTTGTTTTTGTTTTTGTTTTGTTTTTACTATAGGGCACATGTGCTTGTTAGAGAGAGAGAGAAAGTGAGACTCACCCCTTTTTTCCCCCCAGGGGGGATATGGCCACACTTCAGTCCCTTCTCCATCCTCTGAATTCTGGGTATTCTTACACATGTGCCTGGTGTGTTTTTCAAGCCACTGAGTCTGGGATCGAAATGCAGTCAGCCATGTAGGATCCAGCGCTTTAACCTGCCACCTGCTGCGCTCCACCCCGCCATTGGCTTTTTAATATATCTGATGAAGTCATACATTTTCAGAAGGTTCTGCTTCATTCCACGTCCATGGTCCTAGTGAAGCAAAGCAGTTTGTCTCTGGATTATGCAGTTAGGATCAGGTGAATTCAAGTACATACACAGTTTAATTCTCCTTGTTTTTATTATTCTTTTGTAGGATCAGTATAATAGATTATTCTGTTACAGTAAAGAGAATCTATGATTCTATAAACTTTGCATTTAAGGAATTTTGTAAGGGAGGAGGGTGTTGGACAAAGGTTATGTCTCTCAAGTAACATTGTATTCTCTCTTGCTGTTTGATTTACAGTGGAGGAGGGAAGGACAAAGTACTAGAGTGGAAAGTGGATCTGGATTTGTTTAAACTGTCCCACAAGGTTGATCATAAACATCTTTTATTTGGGACTCTGTCCACACATTTCTGGCCATTTTGTACTCCAGCACATTAAAAACAGTTGAGTCCCTTTTAACATTTTTGTTCCTCTTAGCTGTATTAATGCATTTAATTATAAAAGACAACATATGTACAAGTAAAAGGTCAAACAGTAGAGGAGTGTATAAATCGAAAACTAAGTATTCTTTGTATCTGCTCCTTTCTGACTTTTTAGAGATTTTTAGTATTCGTTTGGATTATCTCATATGTGAAGTATGTATACATGTATTCAATATGTATGTGTATGTATATATAGATCCATATATATATATACTATGCATATTGTCTGTTTTTTCCCACATCTGGACATCTTTCTATATTATATATAATAATGTCCTTATTTAAATGTTGTATGTTAGATATAACTTTAAGCATGTTAATCTTCACATCATCCATTTAATCATCACCTTAATCATATGAAGTAGGGATAATTATTCTAGTAAGTAAGAAGTCTCTCATGTTTGCTTGTTGTTATGGGAAATTCCAAGTATATTCAGAAGTTATGGGAATGGTATAATAGACCTCAGTGGCTACCTACAGTGGTGAAAGTGGTTGGTGCTACTGCACAATGCTGGAGCTGTATGGGGAGGCCTGGCATTCAGATCCTGGGTGGACCTGAATCCACAAGGTATGCCTGGCTGGCTAGAAGGCTGGGTGGGGATAGCTATATTTCTTTCTGTCCTCTTTTGCTGTAAATAAACAAATAAAATTAAAAAAAAAAAAAAAAGATGCTTGATGCCAGCCAGTGGCACGCATGGTGGTTAAGGCAGTCAGATCCCACATGGCTGACTGACTGGTTGGAGTCCTGGACCTGATGGCTTGAGAAACACATCGGGCTTTGTGTGTGCACGCATGCTCAAATCCCAAGAGAAGAGAGGAGAAGGGATGGTGGTGTGATCATCCTCCCTGGAGGAGATGCTTTCTCTCTCTCTCTCTCTCTCTCTCCCTCCCCCTCTCTCCCCCTCTCCCTCTCTCCCTCTCTCCCTCTCCGCCTCTCTCTCTTCTTCTACCTCCTTCTCTCTCTCCCTCCCCCCCGCCCCCATTTCTCTCTGGCCAATGCATGTGCCCTATAGCAAACTTAAAAAAAAAAGACCCTCATTTGCCAATCATGTCGGTTTAATAGTTATCAATTTAGAACCTTATTTTTTCTTTTTTTAAACTTGTTTTTCTTTTACATTTTTATTTCTGGAGAGAGAGAGACAGATATATAGCCACCCCCCAACAGGACCCTAATGCTGTGTTCCTGCCGTAGCCAGCCCTGGATTATAGGCACATATGTATGTTCCCAGGGTTCTTGGTGAACTCAAGGTGGTCTCCTTGCCATGCAAACCTGGAACCTTCCTATGTCAGCCCCAGAGAGCATGACATTCTGTCTCTGCAATACCATCCTACACTTAGAACCTTACTCTTTATAGTAAATAGTAATAGTTTAGTCTGTGGGTGAACAGTAATTTATTTTATCATTTTCCTGTTGGTACATATTTAGATATTCATAAGAGACATAAAACGCAGCATTATGCGTCCTCATCCAACTATTTTTATACTTACGCAAGTATTTCTATAGAATAAATTCCTAGCAGTGGGTTTGCTATATCATAGAACATAGGGTTTTTGTCAAATATTACTTTAAGAAATTATTTAATTTATTATTTTTAAAAATTTGCTGTAGGACACATGCACTCATCAGAGAGAGAAAGTGAGAGAGCAAGTGACTAGATCTGGGATTCTGAACTGTGGTTGGCCGTGTGGGAGTCCAACACCTTAGCCAGCACACCACCTGCTGGCTTGTCATATTACTTCTAAAAGCCATTTATTAGCGCCATCTTCTCATCATAAGAGGTTTATGGTTAGATACAGTGCTTTTGCAAAAACAACTTAGGAAAAAAAATAACTTGATGGGGTAGCTTTAAAATGGAAATGTTTTGGGGCCAGCAGGTGGCATGGTGGTTAAGGGTGCTGGACCTCCCACATGACTGACCATGGTTTGAGTCCCTGACCTGGTGGCTTGCTTTCTCACTTTCCCTCTCTCTCTCTCATCCTGTCCCTCTCTGGTCAAATTAAAATAAATAAATAAAGTTAAATAAAATGATTTTTAATAAATGGAGATGTTTTGAGGACTTTTGGCACAAGGGAGAACACATGAATAGAACAGTAATAGCTTTGTCTGGGTTAAAAATGATGTTTGAAAGTTTGTAGAAGCTTGTTATTGTCTTGTTTAGGGGGCTTTAATTCTATTAATAATTTTTTTTTTATAAAGTTGTTTATTTTCCTTATCTTTCCTTATTTCCACTTTTTGTAAGAGTCTGTAAGGAGCAGACTTAAGACCACTCAGTGGTTGTTCCCACCCATTCAATGGCCTGAGCAGTGGGGGCTGCAGACCAGTCTTCGGTAGCAGGCTGAGCACTCCAGTCTTCAGTAGGGAACTGCTGAATGGGCATGGAGGGCACTTGCACGCCTTCAGACCAGTCTGCAACCTTAGGCTGTATTCTATTAACAAATTTTAAAACAGGGAAATTAGAGGTGTTCATAGAGTGGTAGGTAATTTTGCTTTTTAGAGGGATAGTTGTGGTTAATCTAAGTATGCACGGAAAGATTCTGGGTCCCTGTAGTTCAGGGAGTGTTTTGTATATAACTTTGGGTAGGAGAGAAATTTCTCTGTGAAGATTAGAAGTTTGCCATGAGTCTTAGAATGTGATGTGTATTTTATTACATGAATTTAATTGTGCCTCAGGGAATTAGAATAGAGTAAAGGGAAGTGTCTCCTCTTGGGTTCCGTTTGTACCATAGATGTACTGCAGTGATTGTGCTTTTAGATGGGAATGTGGAGGAAGTTACTAGCCTAGGGTTAATGGAGAGGACTGCTTTCTTAATGACATTGGACTTCAAGTAAAACATTAAACTTCTGTGGCCTTTTGTGCCTGAATAAGAGGGAGATTCGGGAAAGATGGCCAGGAAATGGGAAAATATAAACTTTTTTAAAAAGAATATTCAGGACTAATGTGTGTCCTTTGAATATTCAAAAGAAGATCCTCTTCATCTTTGGCCTAAGGTTCTCTAAAAATATGCTTGTTTCTTTTATTTATCTATCTGTTTATTTTTTGGAAATCAGCTAAAGCAGGTAAATATTGTAGGACTTAGTTATGGTCAGCAGGGGGCACCCATTACCTGACTATCAATTCAGAAACTTTCCAACAAAAGGATGGAGAGTAAGTTCCTGTTCTAGAATTGCTTCCTCTGAAAATGTCATTAAACCATTACTACCTTTCAGGGCATCAAATGGGAAAAGTGTCCGGGATATTGGAACAAAAGCCGCCCATGTCTCTAAATGAGGGACCTTAATTAGACTGGTTATGACCCACAGTTTTATGAGAGTTGTTTGGTAGAGGGTTAATGCCCTTCCATTTATCCTCGATACTTCCGAACTTTGTTTCCCGCCCCTATGGTCCCTTCTCCTTTGTTTTATCTTAAACCTTTTGACTGATAACTTACCATGTTTTTTTAATTCAAACTCCCTTTAGCCTTTTTTCTTCCCACCTTCTTTGACATTTTTATTTGTTCTATTTTGACTTTCAGCTGGAGCTACAGTCTCCATGGTCAAAAATAAGGAATTTGTGAAAGAAGGAAGCCAGGGCTTATAGAGCACTCATTAATTATTGTGAAAATTGAAAGCAAGTATTTAAATGAGGTTTGGACTAGTAGTCATTCGTAAATTCAGAGTTTTAAAAAACAAATAAGATGGAATCTGGTATTCTTCGAATGTTCTCTTTACCCCAATATGTTTAACCAGACTTCTTTTGTGATTACTTTCTTATACCTCAGCTAAATTAGCTGGTATGTTCTTTGAACTCTTCTCAGTATATGACAGTTCAAGGAACCAACATTCTAAGGGCCTTTATGTTTTTTGGACTGAGGAGTGGCAGAGAAATATGGGGCAGAGGACATGATTCAGGTGAATTCGTCTACATATCTAAGGTTTTGGTTTAAAATACCATTTTTCTAATTTAAAAAATGTCTTCTTTTTCAGGGCAGCAGAGAAGAAAGTGGTAAAAATTACTTCTGAAATACCACAGACTGAGGTAGGTAGGTGGTAGAAGAGCAGCCTTTACATTTTTCTCTGTATTACTTAGCCTTTTTTCTATCTGTATCATTATTACTATTTTTTAAAAATTATTTTTATTTAACTATTTGTATATTTATTTATACATACATATATACATACCAGAGACAGAGCGAGAAAGAGAGGGAAAGTGAGAAAGCAAGCTACCAGGTCTAGTATTTGAACTGTGTTCAGCCATGTGGGAGGCCAGCATCCTTGACCAGCACACTACCCACCAGCCCATGTATCATTATTTTTTTTGATGGTTTTTTTTTTTTTTTTTTTGCTACAGGGCGCGTGCACTCGCCAGACAGACAGAGAGAGACAGAGAGACAGAAAGCGAGAAATCCCCCCCCAGGAGGGATGGCCACGCCGCAACCCCTTCTCCTCCATTCTCCTCTCGGGATCTTGGGCATACACGCACACGCACCCAGCGTGGTTTTAAGCCACCGGGTCCAGGACTCGAACCACGGTCAACTATGTGGGAGTCCAGCGACATAGCCATTACGCTAACTGCTGGTCCCTGTATCATTTTTTAAAATGTATTCTTAGACAGAAAGTCAGTATTGACAGATTCTGGTGTTGATACATTTTTCTGTTAACTACCCTTAGAGAGATATTTAGCCTGGCATAGTAAGTACTCACTTTTGAAGCTATAATGTTTTTGTAAATAATACAATGGTTGGGACCAGTGGTGGTGTGGTGGTTAAGGCGCTGGTCACTCCCATGTGGCCGACCATGGTTTGAGTCCCAGACCTGGTGGCTTCCTTTCTCACTTTCCCTTTCTCTCTCTCTCTCTCTGGTGAAAGTAAAATAAATGAAGGAATAAATAAAATTAAAATAAACTAAAAATAATAATAATACAATGGTTTTATTGGTAATGCCCTTTTTATTTAAAAAGATTTTTTTTGTGGGGTTTTTATTTTTGAGAGGTTTTTGCTACAGGGTGCCTACGCTTGCTAGAAAGACCAAGAGAGACAGAAAGCAGGAAATCACCTCCCAGGGGGAATGGCCACACTGCAATCTCTTCTCCTCCATTCTCCTCTCAGGATCTTGGGCATGTATGTACACGCGCCCTTTGTGAGTTTAAGCCACTGGATCCGAGACTTGAACTGCTGTCTACTGAATAGGAGTCCAGCGACATAGCCATTATGCCAACTGCTGGTCCCATTAAAAAAAATTTTTAGAGTACTTTTGAGAATTATTCATTTAATTTTATTCACTCATTCGTTCATTTTTAAATTTGACCGGGGCCAGGGAGTGAGAAAACAAGCCACCAGGTCCAGGACTTGAACTGTGGTTGGCCATGTAGGAGTGTCCAGTGCCTTAACCAACACACCACCTGCTGGCTCCTACTGGTAACTCTATTTAAGTGGTTTACAAACCTCAAATTAGAATTTGGGAAGATGGGGACCAGCAGGTGGTGTGGTGGCTAAGGAGCTGGACATTCACACATGGCCAACCACGGCTCGAGTCCTGGGCCTGGTGGCTTGCTTTCTCACTTTCTCTCTCTCTCTCTCTCTCTCTCTCTCTCTCTCTGTGTCTGTCTCTCTCTGGTTAATTTAAATAAATTAATGAATAAGTAAAATTAAATAAATAAAAAAAGAATTTTGGAAGATTGTACCTTTGAAAAGTAGCAATGGTAGATATCACTCTTAAGTTGCTGTTTGCTAGCAGGTAAGATCGAAATTTCTCTGCATTATGTCTCAAGATTTCTTAAACTGGGTTCCCGTTGAAATCTTACATTCATTCTTACACCTTAAAAATAGGGAGTTATTTGGACCAGCAGTTAGCATAATGGCTATGTCGCTGGACTCCCATGTAGTCAACCGTGGTTTGAGTCCTGGACCCAGTGGCTTAAACTCACGCCAGGCAGGTGTGCGTGCATGCCCAAGATCCCGAAAGAAGAATGGAGGAGAAGGGATTGTGGCGTGGCCATCCCCCCTGGGGGGTGATTTCTTGCTTTCTGTCTCTCTTTCTCTGTCTTTCTGGCGAGCGCATGCACCCTATAGGAAAAACCTCTCCAGAAAAAGAAAAGAAAAAAAATAGTTATTAAACTTGTTTGGAATAGCGTAAGACAACACTGTTCTCATTTCTAATGAAAGAGTACCACTAGTTGGAACCAAGCTGTCCCTTTGATCCCTTTCAAAGATCTACCAAACAACTTTAGTCTTTAGACTTTGCGCAGAATGTGGGTTTTATTTTTCCCTTTTGTTTTTGAGGGCATGAATATAATAATAGTTTTTTTGTGTTTGCTTTCTGGAAAGGGCTGTTGAGTTAAGCTCTAGAATAGACACAATGTAATATCCTTCAGAATTCTCAGTATTTTCAGTTTAGACCTAGAGAGATTGCTGTTAATGTTCCTAAGATACCTTTCTCTAACCAGCTTTTCCTAAACAGAAATTGATTTTTTTCTCTTCCCCTTTTTTCATCTATTATCACGTAGAGAATGCAGAAGAGGGCTGAACGATTCAATGTACCTGTGAGCTTGGAGAGTAAAAAAGCTGCTCGTGCAGCTAGGTGAGTGTTCCTAGGCTTTTGGACCTGAGATAGTGATGGTATGAAGGTGAAAGGTGTATGATCCTAAGGGTTGGATATAATTGTTGATTTCTAATTAGAAGGAATGAGGTGGGTTTTTTTTTTTTAATTTATTTTTTTATTGTTGTTTTGTTTTGGTTTGGTTTTGTCCTATTAATGATATCACTGCTGATATAGATGTAGTACCTCTAGATTGGGCTTTAATCTTCAGCAGGTTTTTATGATAGGTAAAGGTTGGGAACTTAGTTTTATTCCTAATTCTGATAAAGCTCTTTTAGCTTATTCTTTGGACTCTTGGTGAGAAGGAGAGTAAACTGAACCTCTTTCATGAGGTTGTTAGAATTAGCTAATGATTGCAAGGCTTGAGATCACAAGCAAGAGTGTAATGACATGGAGACAGACAACCAAGAGTGTAAACAGCTTCCTAAAATTTAGCCTGTTTTTCTTTCTACAGATTTGGGATTTCTTCAGTTCCAGCAAAAGGTAAGAGTACAACAACTCTTCTGAGAAAGTTATCTTTAGAGTTTTTCTTTTTTGGGAATAATAGGTAGCATTTCTTCAAATTATGGCAAGCTTGTTAACTCCGGGAGCACTTAAGAGGTTATAACATTCATCTCTTTGCTTTAGGTAAAATCCTACGTAAGCCTTCCTGGGCAGTTAAGAGATGGTACTAAAGTTATGAGAATAGGAGGAAGTGCCAACATTTGTCTTCCTTTACTTGGACATATTCAGAGAAATTTTTGGTACCATGCTTACTTATTCTGATGTCTTATGAGCATACAATGATTGTGAATTAAATTGTATAGTATAGTGGTAAAAGAAAAGAGAGGGACCAGCAGTTGGCATAATGGCTGTGTTGCTGGACTCCCATGTAGTCAACCGTGGTTCGAGTCCCAGACCTGGTGGCTTAAATTTACGTCGGGCACATGTGTATGCATGCCCAAGATCCCGAGAGGAGAATGGATGAGAAGGGATTGCAGCGTGGCCATCCCCTTTGGGGGGTGATTTCTCGTTTTCTGTCTCTGTGTCTCTCTGTCTGGCAAGTGCAGATGCCCTATAGCAAAAACCTCTCTTGGGAACCAGCAGTTAGCGTAATGGCTATGTCGCTGGACTCCCATGTAGTCGACCGTGGCTTGCGTCCCGGACCCGGTGGCTTAAAACTCACACCGGGCACGTGTGCGTGCGTGCCCAAGATCCTGAGAGGAGAATGGAGGAGAAGGGATTGCGGCGTGACCATTCCCCCTGGCGGGTGATTTCTCGCTTTCTGTCTCTGTGTCTCTGACTGTCTGGCGAGTGCTCGTGCCCTATAGTGAAAACCTCTCCAAAAAAAAACCTCTCCAAAAAAAGAGAAAAGAGTATCTTTTACCGTAACAGCTTCACTTCTGGGAACTTAGAAGGAAATCATCTTGACTGTGCTTAAAAATTTAGCCTTGAGGATCACCATAGCATTACTTATAATGATCAATAACTGGAAAAAACTGAATAAACCAAATGAATTGGTTAAAGAAGTATGTGTAATAGTATAGTAGAAAACTATACTGTGGTAAAAATTTTATTGAAAAGTATTTGTCAGAAAGATACTGAGTGAACAAAGAAGTTACAAAATTATATAAACTGTATTCCTATTTTAGTTATAAAAGAATATGTATGGATGGGTAGGGGGAGAAAAAAAGATTATACTAAGTTGTTAGTCCTCATATCTGGTTGTGTAATTTTAAATGTTCTTTTTGCTTGTTCATTTTTTTTGTTTTTTAATTTTTTGGAGAGGTTTTTGCCATAGGGTGCGTGCGCTCACCAGACAAATGGAGAGAGACAGAGAAACAGAAAGCGAGAAATTACCCCCCAGGGGGAATGGCCACACCGCAATCCCTTCTCTTCCACTCTCCTCTCAGGATCTTGGGCACGCACGCACACGTGCCCGCCAGGATTTAAAGCTGCCGGTCCGGGACTAGAACCGCGGTTGACTACATGGGAGTCCAGCGACATAGCCATTATGCTAACTACTGGTCCTTCCTTGTCCATGTTTTAAAAAGCCATGCAGTGAATATGTATTACTTTGGTAATAAATTAGGGAGAAAGGTTAATATTTTAAAAAAGAACATAGCCCATGTTCTTAGGGACTTATGGTGGTTATGGCATTGGACTCCCACATGGCTGACCATGGTTCCAGCCCTGGACCTGGCGACTTGCTTTCTCCTTCTCCCCACCCTCATCTTTCTCTCTGGTCAAATTAAACAAGTAATAATAACAAGTAAAATGAAAAAAAAAAATTCTTTAAAAAAAAAAAGGGACTTAATATGTATTCTTGTAATCTAATCCAGGCTACTTAATGACCTATAAGTAGGTTTTTTTTTAAGAATAATTTTTTGTTTTTAATTTTATTCATTGTCATTATTTTTTATTGTTTTGAAGTTGACCAGAGAGAGAGAGAAGGAAAGTGAGAAAGCAAGCTGCCAGGTCTGGGACTCGAATCATGGTTAGCCATGTGGAGTCCAGCTGCCTTAACCACTGTGCCACCTGCCGGCCTGACCTGTTAGTAGTTTTAAGTTTGTTAAGAAAATGTCCTCCAAAGATCTTGTAGTACTTTGCTGTGCTTTTGAAAGACCCAAAGAATTCTAGCCACTACAAGATAGTGAAAAAAAATAAAATTCTGACTCTTAGTTGTATTGAGGGAGATAATTGGTGACAGTACAACAAAAATGATTCAAGATGTTGATATTCGATCAAAGATAAAAGCTAAAATTTCTTTTCTCTGAAAAAAACCCTGATAAATAGCCTGTAAATGTTTACAATATTTACATAATTTTGACACCCTAAAACTACAGAGTAACTCTTAAAAGAATAGAATTTGGGAACATTTGAAATGAAGTATGGCTTTTATTTACTTATTTTATTTTTAGCTTCATTGTTTGTTTTAATTTGACCAGAGAGAGAGAAAGAGGGAAAGTGGGAAAGCAGGCTGCCAGGTCCAGGACTTGAACCAGTCGGCCATGTGGGAGTCCAGTGTCCTTAACCACCATGCCTCCTGCCAGCCTCACAAGTACTGTATGTTGAATGGGAACATAAAACACCTAACCATTTCTACTTAACACACATTAGGTTGTCAGAAAAGTCATAATTTTTTTTTTTATGCAAAAATGCATCATGACTTTTCTCACAACCCAATAGATTGTGGTAAAAGTTAAATCTGTTATGCTGGAACCATACAGGAACACCCCAGGTTCGGATCCTGATAGATCTGGATGCACAGTACATGCTAATCATTTGGGTGACTGGGAGGCTTAGGAAGATTGCCAAAAGGCACATTCACTCATCAGAGGGAGAGGGAGTAAGCACCCCCTCCCTAATGGTCATGCTGCAATCCTTTTTCCATTTCTTTATACTGTTGGGATTTTGGACATGCATATATAGGAACTTTGTGTTTTCTAAGTTGCCAGGGCTGAGATTCAAATCACAGTTGGCCATGTGGGATCCACTTCCTTAAGTACTAGACTCTGAGACTGGCCCTCTCATTTTAATACCTTTACTGAGATATAATTCATATACCATGTAATTCATCCATTTAAAGTATATAATTTATCATTTTTATAGTATATTCACAGGGTTGTGCAAGAGCCAGCAATATGCTCTAATTTTAGAATATATTTAGCACCCAAGATAGAAAACCTGTATCAATTAGCAGTTACCTCCTCCCTATTTTCTCTCCCCACCCTTCCCAGCCTTAACAAACCACTAATATTTTCTCTGTGTACAGTCATCTCCCTATATTTGCAGGGAACTGTTTCGGGGACCCTCCACATATACGAGTCTTCAGATGCTCAAATCCCCTATATAAAATGGCATAGTATTTGCATATAATCTATACATGTCCTCCTGTTAACAGTCATGTGACACATGAGGATGTTTTGGTCAACAGCAGACTGTGTAAATGGTAGTAGTCCCATGAGGTTATAATAGGCAAAAACATATAGCACAGGTGTTTAGTAGGCTACTCTTGGGGTCCCCACACCCCAGATCATGGACTGGTACCAGTCTGTATCCTTTTAGTAACTGGCCACACAGCAGGAGGTGAGTGATGGGTGAGCAAGTGAGTCTTCATTTGTATTTACAGCCGCTCCGCATTGCTCCCATTACTGTCTGAGCTCCATCTCTTGTCAGATCAATAGTGGCATTAGATTCTCAAAGGCGCTTGAGCCCTATTGTGAACTGTGCATGCAAGGGACCTAGGTTAAACGTGCCATATGAAAGTCTAATGCCTGATGATCTGAGGTGGAGCTGAGGAAGTGATGCTAGTACTGAATATTGACTGCAAATACTGCATTATGATAAGATGTGTAATTATTTCATCATATATTACAGTGTAATAATAGAAATAAATTGCATGATAATTGTAATGCACTTGAATTGATTGAGTCATCCTAAAGCCAATTTCCCAACCCTCCATTTGTCAAAAAACTATCTTCTATGAAACTGATCCCTGGTGCCAAAAAGGGGACCACTGGGCAATACCTTCCATGTTTATGTAAGTACACTCTTGTGATGTTTATATAATGGTGAAATCACCCAGTAAACATTTTTCAGAGTATATCCAGGTCATTAAGGGACTCAAGATTGTACTTTTTTTTTTTTTTTTTTTTTGAGAGGTTTTCGCTATAGGGTGCGTGCGCTCGCCAGACAGACAGAGACAGAGAGACAGAAAGTGAGAAATCACCCCCCAGGGGGGATGGCCATGCCGCAATCCCTTCTCCATTCTCCTCTCGGGATCTTGGGCACGCACGCACACATGCCCGGCGTGAGTTTTAAGCTACCAGGTCCGGGACGTGAACCGCGGTCGACTATGTGGGAGTCCAGCGGCATAGCCATTACGCTAACTGCTAGTTCCCTCAAGATTGTACTTTATAAATCATCCCTAGGTTATTTATAATACCTAATCTAATGTAAGTGCTATGTAAATATTTATGTTTTTAATTTTTTTTTTTTTTAGAGATATTTTTTGCTCTACTCTAGGGTGTCTGTGCTCACCAGAGAGACAGAACAAGGGAACGTGAGAAATCATCTCCCTGGGGAGATGGCCACTCTGTAATCCCATCTCCATTCTCCTCCCAGGATTTTGGGCATGCACGCATATGCGCCTGGTGTAAGTTTCAAGCTTCTGAGTCTGGGACTAGAACCTCAGTTGGCCAGTTGGTTCATGAGTCCAGCACCTTAATCACTATGCCACTTGCCCCAATTTAATTTTTTAAGTTTTCTATAGTGCACATCCATTTGCTGGAGAGGGAGAGACAAAAAGTGAGAAGTTGCTTCTGGGGTTGGGGGGTGGCCACATTTCAGTCCCTTCTTCATTCTCTCAGGATTTTGGATGAGCACACACGTGATCTCAGTGTACTTCTTTAATTTCTTTCTTTATGGCATGTGTGCACTCACTGGAGAGACAGACAAGAAGTGAGAAATCACCCTCCAGGGGCAATGGCCCAAACCATAATCCTTTCTCCTTTCGGGATCTTGGGCATGCACGCGCATGTGCCCAGTGTGAGTTTCAAGCCTCCAGGACAGGTACTCAAGCCGCAGTCGACCATGTGGGAGTCCAATGACATAACCTTTACACTATCTGCTGGTCCCTCTGGTATGCTTTTTTAAGCCATTGGGTCCGAAGCTCAAATTGTGCAGTCGGCCATGTGCAATCCAGGTGCCTTGACCACTGTGCCAACAGCTGGCCCTATGTTTTAGGGAATAATGATAGAAAAAAAGTCTGTATGTTCATGGACACGGTGCAGTCCCTTCTCCTCCATTCTCCTCTCAGGATTTTGTGCACGCATGCACATGTGCCTGGCATTAGTTTTAAGCCCCTGGTTCTAGGACTTGAATTGCAGTTGACTACATGGGAATTCAGTAATATAACCATTACGCCATCTGCTGGTTTCTTTTGTCCCTTTCTTTCTTTCTTTTTTTTTTTTTTATTGAGCGAGAGAGACAGCGAGAAAGTTAGCTGCCAGGTGTGGGATACAAACCACAGTTGGCCATGTGGGAATCTAGTACCCTTAACTCTACCATGTCACCTGCTGGCCCCCCTTTTTTTGGACTTTCTAATAAGAATAATGCTGTTGTAAACATTTGCCTGTAAGTTTTTGTGTGGACATAAGTTTTCATTTCTTCAGGAGTGGAATTGCTAAGGTCAAACAGTAGTCTGTGTTAACTTTTTTTGACTAACTGCTAAATTTTTTCGTATAGCTTATCCATTTTTATGTTCCTACCAGCTATTAATTGCAGACATGATTTCTAGATATAGTCTCAACCTTTTCACTCTCATCATGAAATAAAGGGATTTTGTTCTCTTTACTGTTTTTATGCTAATTTGATTTGAACTGTTGACTTCCTTTATGGCTTTAAGATTATTAAATTGAAAGTTTTATTTAATTTTTAAATTTGTTTCCTTAGGTCTGTCATCTGACATGAAGCCTGTGGTAAGACATCTTTCTTTTTTAAATCTCTGCAGAGCCAGATCTTAACTCTGTAAAGTTAAGAGACTCTCCTCCTACTTCCCAGATCCAAGGAAACTCTAAGATTGTGAATTTTGTGACTGGTTTCAGTACAGTATGGTACATACTGAATTTTAAAAATTGAGATACTGAGAAGTCAGGAAATTGCTACATCTTCAAAGTTACTACAAATATCATTCCTCCTACTATTCCTCTGTTTAAAGATGAATATAGATTTTATGAGCTATAAGGACTCTCTCTTATTATACTAGAATTTTTTTTTTCTTACTGCCAGAGGGTGTGTGTGCTCACCAAAGAGAGACAGAGACAAAAAGGGAGAAGGCACCTCCTGATGGGTGTGGTCACGCCACAGTCTCTTTTCTTCCATCTTCATCCTGTCAGAATTTTCAGCACACACATCCAGTATGTTTTTCAAGCTACCGAGGACAGGATTTGAACTTGTCAGCCATGTGGGATCTAGCCCCCTTAACCACGTGGCTATGGAACTGGCCCTGATACTGGAGATGTAAGCTTTATCCAATGGCTTTAGATAATGTCTTGATTCTTTTTTTTTTTTCCTAAT